AATATTACCAGAGAGAGAGAGAAAGTGAGAAAGCAAGCCACCAGGTCCAGGACTCAAACTTTAGTTGGCCATGTGGAAGTCCAGTGCCCTTAACTACTACACCACCTGCCAGCCCCCTTTGTTTTTTAGAGAGAGATTTTTCTATAGGGCACATACATTCGCTACAGAGACAGAGAGAAGGCAAGAAATCACCCTCCAGAGGGGATGGCCACATCGTAATCCCTTCTCCTTCATTCTCCTCTCAGGATTTGGGGCACACATGAACATGCACCTGGCATGAGTTTTTTAAACCACTAAGTCCAGGACTCGAACCACAGTTGACTACGTGGGAGTCCAGCAACGTAACCATAATGCCATTTGTTGGTATTGGTAATTTTTTTTTTTTTGAGAGGTTGCTGCTATAGGGCGTGTGTGCTTGCCAGACAGACAGACAGAGAGACAGAAAGCGGGAAATCCCCCCCCAGGGGGGATGGCCACGCTGCAATCCCTTCTCGTCCATTCTCCTCTCGGGATCTTGGGTACGCACACACACGTGCCCGGCGTGAGTTTTAAGCCACCGGGTCCGGGACTCAAACTGCAGTCGACTACATGGGAGTCCCGCGACATAGCCATTACGCTAACTGCTGGTCTCTTTGTAATTCTTTATATAATCTGTGTGAGTCCTTTTTCAGATACATGTATGCAAATATTTTCTCCCACTTTGTGGTGTATACAACATAAATTTTATTTTTTAATGTCAGAGAGTGTCTGCATATATGAGAGAGAGAGGGAGAAGTTACCCCCAACAAGACCTGGTCGTGCCATAGTCCTTTTTACAGCAACTCTCCATCTCTTCAGGTTCCTGGGCACACACGACACATGTCCCGCACAATTTTTAAGCCATCAGGTATGAAGTGGAACCCTGGTCAGCCATGTGGAATCTGGCTCCTTCTGCACATCCCTTAACTGCTGTGCTAAAGGGCTGGCCCCTCCAACATAAATTTGAATTAAAAAACCAGTTGGCAAGACCAGCAGATAGGGTAATGGTTACATCGTTGGACTACCACATGATCGACTGCAGTTCGAGTCCTGGACCCAGAGGCTTGAAACTCATGCTGGATGCATGTGATATGGCCCAAAATCCCAAGAAGAGAATGGAGAAGAAGGGATTTCTGCATGGCCATCCCTGCTAGGGGGGTGATTTCTCTCTGTTTCTCTATCTCTCTCTGTCCCTCCTGCAAGCACACATGACCTATAGCAAAAATGTCTCCAACATATAATTTTTAAAATGTTGGCAACAACTTCAATATTCAGTTGAAGGAGACTTATTGAAAAAAAAAAAAACACATAAAATAGCATGAAAGCCCATATGTGCTCATATGAAACAATTTCCAAGACATACTAAGTGAAAAATGCAAGGTGCTTCATTTGTATATTAAAAAGAATACACAGGGCGTGGTCATGCTGCAATATCTTCTTTTCCATTTCTCAACCCTGTTGGGATTTTCGGCATACATGCACATGAACCCAGTGTGTGCTCACCAGAGAGAGACAGAGAGAAAGGGAGCATGAGAAAGCAAGCCGTCAGGGAAGATGGCCACGCCTTAATCCCTTCTCCTCCATTCTTCTGTCAGGATTTTGGGCATACAAGCACACACACCTGGTGTGATTAAGGTGTGGCCATCTCCCACCTTCTAACCTAGTAGTTAAAGGAGCTAGATCCCAGGTGGTGGCATGGTGGTTAAGGTGCTAGACACTCCCACATGGCTGAGCACGGTTCAAGTCCCGGACCTGGTGACTTCCTTTCTCACTTCCCCTCTCTCTCTTTCTCTTTCTCTGTGTCTCTCTCTGGTCAAATTAAAATGTATGAATGAATAAAATTTAAATAAATAAATAAAATGAATGAAAAGGAGCTGGATCCTACATGGCTGACAGCAGTTCAAATCTGAGCCCCAGCAGCTTGAAAAATGCTGGACTCCTACATAGCTGACTACAGTGTGAGTCCCAGACTTGGCAGCTTGCTTTCTCACTTTCCCTTTCTCTCTGTCTCTCTCTGATGAATACATGTGCCCTATAAATTAAATTTTAAAATAATAATAATAAATTAAATTAAAACACACACACACATTCTGGGCACATGTGCATGTACGCCCCAAATTCCAACAGGTTGGCAAAATGGAAAAGAAGATACTGTGATATGACCACATCCCACTAGGGGAGGTGCTTTCTCCCTTTCCCACTCTCTTTCTCTCTGTGTCTCTCTCTGTCTCTGGCAAGCACACAAATTCTCTGAAAATATTGATTCACTGGAAAAGTCATAACATATTGTTCTATGTTTTTCTTTTTTTTTTTTTTTGGAGAGGTTTTTCGCTATAGGGCGCGTGCGCTCGCCAAACAGACAGAGAGAGACATAGAGACAGAAAGAGAGAAATCACCCCCCAGGGGGGATGGGCACGCACGCACATGCACCCGGCGTGAGTTTTAAGCCACTGGGTCCGGGACGCAAACCGCGGTTGACTACGTGGGAGTCCAGCGACATAGCCATTACGCTAACTGCTGGTTCCCTTGTTCTATGTTTTTCTATGTGAAAATGCATCATGACTTTTCCAATGACTAACATACATAAATACATGTGTAAACTTGATATTAATAACATGGAGTGGTTGGTAACTGTATGTTTTGGTTTTCCCTGCAGCTCTCTAGACGAGACCACCTATGAAAGACTAGCAGAGGAAACTCTGGACTCTTTAGCAGAGTTTTTTGAAGACCTTGCGGACAAGCCTTACATGTTTGACGACTACGATGTCTCCTTTGGGGTACCTCAGCATATTTTAATTTTTCTGTTTTATCCTTAAGAATTTTTGTTTTCTAAAATAATTCCTCTCCAGCAGAATTAATCATCAAGCAGCATGGGATTGGGAGCAGGACCAAACAACTGGGCAAGTCACTCAGCCTGTCTGAGCCTCATTTCTGGTTAAAAAATACAGATTCTTGGAGCCAGCAGGTGATGTGCTGGTTAAGGTGCTAGATTTCCAGATGACTGATCACGATTTGAGTCCCGGACCCTGTAGTTTGAAAATCACACTGGGCACATGTACTTGCGTGCCCAAAATCCTGACAGGAGAATGGAGGAGAAGGGGTTAAGCTGTGCCCATCTCCCTGGGAGGATTTCTCACTTTCCTTCTCTCAGTATTTCTCCTGAAGCATATGTGCCCAGTGGCAAAACAAAAGCAAACAAACAAAAACAGATTCTCGAGCTTCACCCATGCCCATGAAGGTAAATCAGGGAGGCATGGGGAGTATGAAACTTTGCCACTAGTTCTCTCTCTTCTTTTTTTTTTTAGAGAGAGATTTTTGCTATAGGGCGTGTGTACTTGCTGGAAAGATGGAAAGCGAGAAATCATCCCGAGGGGATGTCCACACTGCAACCCCTCTCCTCCATTCTCCTCTTAGGATCATTGGAGTTTTAAGCCACCGGGTCCGGGACGCGAACCGCGGTTGACTATGTGGGAATCCAGCGACATAGCCATTACGCTAACTGCTGGTTCCCAGAGCCCTGGAGTTTTTGAAGTTACCCAGGTCATTCTGTTTTATTATGCAGGTGGACTGGAAACTTCCCAGTTGTCTGAACCATCAGATCCAGATCTTAATAGAGAGCTGGTCTCGCTTGACTAGCCACCAGATGGCAGCCTTGAGCAAGGATCCACCTTTGCATTTAGAATTATTTAAGTCTTCAAAGTTGATTTTTGTTTTGTTTTGTTTTGTTTTGTTTTGTTTTGTTTTTTGTTTTGTTTTGTTTTGTTTTGTTTTGTTTTGTTTTGTTTTGTTTGCCAGTGGGAGAAAATTCCCTGCAGAGATTAATCCTCTTGACAGCATTTAATTACTACCAGGAAATGTCACCTGTGTACATTTTGGTTTAATGATGGAATTACTCAGGACAATCCAGCTGTCAGACTGAAGTGCTAGAAATAGTGTTGAAGGCTGCTGTGGGGGCCCCTGATGGAGAAGGGACTCCCTATGGTAAAGCAGCAGCAAAGTCTTAGAGAAGCTGTCAAGCCTGGTTGTAAGGACAGAGAGGAACTTAGCAAAAATAGGGACAGTGGGGCAGGAAAGGATCGCGTGCCTTCCAGGTGGGTCCAGTGATTGGTAGCAGCTGCAGAAAATGCAGCCATGTTGGAGCAGGACTTTGTAAGAGGTCTTATGCAGGCAGTCCTGGAGGGCTGAGCTGCATGGAGACCTTACAAACTGGCCTGCCAACTTGACCATCCATGCAGTGATTAGAGGTGGGGACGTGATAGGCCTCCTCTCTCCCGAACAGGGTCTGTGGCTATGGGAACCAAGTCTCAGGCTAAACTCTGCCCACGCATGCAAATATGGATCAACAAGCCACAAAAACACCCATGCAATCTGTTCTTACGGGGTGAGGGAGGCCCCATCTGACCCAAGTACTTTGCGTGAATGCTTCATCAGAAACAAATGTGCCAATATTCTAGTAGCTGGATTCACGGTTCCTTATTGAATCAATTTAAATGAGGTGACAAAATCTGCTTGGTAGTGGGTCACAGAACCTTCCTGAAATCTACCCTAGAGTGGCTTTTTGAAGAGTGTTAGGCTGCTGGGTGCTCCGGAGTTTGTAGCCCACTCCTGTGAGAGACAGGTGCCAATCCATATTCCCTGAGTGTCACTCTACTCACCAGGGAGGGAAATCATTTACTAATTAACAAATTCTCAAATGTAGACTTAGAAAGCTAAAAGTAGGCCTTGGCCTTCTCTATGGTTGAGACTTGTGATGAAGTGCTTTGAAATGCTCTCTCCTCACACTGGGCTGTGAGTTCCTAATTAGAGCCCTGCAGGTGCGAACCAATTTGTGTATTTCATAAATAAGGAATAGCCATTGAGGGTGCATTATCGGGCCTGGTAGCTTGGGAAAAACACACCAGGCACAGGTACATGTGTGCCCAAAATCCCAAAAGGAGAATGGAGGAGAAGATGGCATGACCATCTCCCCGAGAGGCGATTTCTCACTGTCCTCTCTTTCTCTCTGTCTCTGTGTCTCTCTGGTGCACACACACACCCTATAACAACAGCAATATTTATAATATATACATCTTATATAATATATTTTATATTATCTATATAATATATGTAATATATATAGTGTATATGTTACATACTAAATAGTATTAGATGATAATAAATACATAATTACATTATTATATAATTTTTTTTATGTATTATATATAATGGTGCACATACAGCCTCTAACAACTATATATAAAATAAACATAGTTATATTGTTATTTTTGATAATATATATTTATATTATATATGTCACATATATATTCTATATAAATTTTTTTTTTTTAAAGTGGAGATTTTGGGACCAGCAGTTAGCATAATGGCTGTGTCACTGGGCTTCCATGTAGTCAACCACAGTTCAAGTCCTAGACCCAGTGGTTTAAACTCATGCTGGGCGTGTGTGTGTGTGTGTGTGTGTGTGTGTGTGCCCAAGCTCCTGAGAGGAGAATGGAAGAGAAGGGATTGCAGGTAGCCATCCCCCCTCAGGGGTGATTTCTTGCTTTCTGTCTCTCTTTCTGGCAAGCGCACGTGTCCTATAGCAAAAACCTCTCCCCCCCTCCAAAAAGAAAAGTGGAGATTTGGAGGCCAGCAGGTGGCAGGGTGCTTAAGGCACTGGACTCCCACATGGCTGACCATGGTTCAAGTCCCATACCTGCTGGCTTCCTTTTTCACTTTTTTTCTCTCTCTGGTCAAATAGAAATAGAAGAATAAATTAAAAATTAAAAAATTATTCTTTAAAAAGTGGAGATCTGTCACACAACAATGTAAATATGCTTAACACCACTGAACACTTAAAAATAATTAGAATGGTAAATTAAATATTTTACATATTTTGTGTATTTTGGTTTTTCTATAGGGTCATGCATTCATCAGAGAGAGAGAAAGTAAGAAAGCACCCCCCGGGGGGGGCGGGGAGGAGGGTGCAATCCCTTCTCCTCCATTCTCTTGGAATTTTGGGAATGCATGCACACGTTTTCGATGTGATTTTCAAGCCACCGGGTCTGGGACACAAACTGCATGCAGAGGTAGCCTCGTGGGGTCCAGCCTCCTTAACCTCAATGCCGCCTGCTGGCCCCTAGAATAGAGAATCCTGATCCCCAGTGGCCGACTGCAGTTTCAATCCTGGCACTAGTAGCTTGGAACATATGCGGGCATGTGAACCCAGAATCCTACAGGATGGAGAAATGGAGGGGAAGGGATTGCAGAGTGACCATGCCCCGTTGGAGGGTGCTTTCTTTCTCTCTCTTCTTGTTTTTAATTATTTTCTTTTTAAAAGGATTTTATTTATTTATTTATTTATAATTTGCTATAGGGCACGTGCACTCAGCAGAGAGAGAGAAAAAGCAAGCCACCAGGTCTAGGACTTGAACTACAGTCGGCCATAAGACAGTCCAGCAGCTTAACCTTACCTGCTGGCCCCTCTTTCTTATTTGTTTTTTTCTCTCTCTGGCAAGTACATGCACCGTCTCGCAATAAAAGAAAAACATAATGATGATAACAATGAATACCCTAATAACCACCATGCCATGCCTATCGGTCATTATCATTGCCACCTCCAGCATCCGGACAGCCCTTTGTGCTGATACAGGTGTGTGGTAAGAATCCTTCAGTGACACTTGATTGGAAAGAAGCACTAGAATGCACAGAGAAGGCCACCACACATCTCTGCAGGTCATTCACAGGATGGGAACAGCCAGGCCCCCTTACTTACACAGTTCCAATTCAGGGAACTTGACCCTGTAAATGTTCCTTTAATTTCCTGTTATTCTAAAGAGATGCAGGCCTTGAGCGTAAAGGGCTTCTTTGTTGAAAGAATGTTTTCACATTTAAATGAGCATTTATTAGGCAGAGATGGACCAAATGGTCTTTTGAAGATGGCTAGGCTCCTTAGAGGAAAGAAAGCCCTAGAGGAGCTTGTGAGATGCGTGGGAAGGACCTGGAAATAAAAACCCAGACTTGGCACTTCTGCCTCCTAGGGACAGAGCCGAAGCTGCTGCTTTTCTAAGACAGGAGGTTTGCATGCTTCTTTCTTTCCTTCTTTTCTTCGTAATGAATTGTATTCAATGGTCGGGTTGACATGGGAGCCTAATAAAGTTGATGTTTGCATTTTTTTTTTAATTTATTCACTCATTTATTTTAATTTGACCAGAGAGAGAGAGAGGGAAGGGGAGAAAGCAAGCTACTAGGTCCAGAGCTCGAACCATGGTCAGCCATGTGGGAATGTCCAGCACCTTAACCACCAGGCCACCTGCTGGTCTCTGATGCTTCCATTTTTTAACGTCTTCTAGTATGTCCTGGTTGGAGTTGAGGGCAACAAGCCAGCGTCACCTTTGCTCGCTCTCAGACAAGTCACTTAACACTGAACTTCACGACCACTCTCGCCTGGCCGACCTCCTGGGGAAGAGGGAAAGCACTGTATAGATACTAACATGGTTATGATTAAGCCTCTTCTGATGGATTCATTGGAATAAAGAAAGCACAATCTCTTCTTTTTTTATTTTTTAACTTTTTTGCTATAGGGTATGTGTACTCACTGGAGAGACCGAGAGAGAGAGAGAGAGAAGGTGAGAAGTCACCCCCCGGGGGATGGTCACACTATGATTCTGGTTTTTTGTTTTTTTTTTTAAGAGATTTTTGCTACAGGGTGCATGTACTCACCAGAGAGACAGAAAGACAGAAATCACACTGCCAGGGGAATGGCCATGCTACAATCCCTTCTCCATTCCCCGTGCCCAGCATGTTTTCAAGCCACTAGGTCCAGGACTCAAACTGTATAGTCGGCCATGTGAGATCCCCTGCCTTAACCACCATGCCACCTACTGGCCCAAGAGCTCCTGTTTCTAAACACTAAAAGACATGTCTTTCTGGGGTATATATGTTCTGGTATAAATGCAAAGTTTTGCAAACCATTATGACAAAGTTGATAACTTTGCTTTGTTTTATTTTCTTCATATTTTTTCCACTCACGCTCACACCCTAGAGTGGTGTCTTAACAATCAAACTGGGTGGAGATCTAGGAACCTACGTGATCAACAAGCAAACTCCCAACAAGCAAATCTGGTTATCTTCTCCATCCAGGTATGTTCAGAAGTCAAAATCTGTCATCTTTGTACTCTGACACGTGACACTGTGGGTCATTTACAAGGCATCATCCTTGGGTGTCAGATTTTGTGCAAGGGACTCTTTTTTCAGTCTTACAGCGCGTCTCGTTCTCAGTGGGACACTTGGCTCTGGTTATATAACTTCTCCCTGCTGCTGTCTTAACTAGTGTGGGCAGGCATCAGGGTGTTAATGAGATCTCAAGGGATGCGTTTACAGCTTTTCCGAACCCAGCCTAGACAGTCTTTCCCCATGAAATCATTACCCTGCCTTTGGAAAAGCCATGTCTGATACTGCAGTGTCTAAGCAAATTGCACTTTGTCTTCGAAGCAAGTTCAAGTTTGACCTCTCGCTTGTGTCAAGCATCTCAGCTGAGGGTTAGCTGAGTGCCTTTTACAGAATCGGGTGGTGTCCTCTGTGCAGGTCCAGGAGTGTCAAAGTTGTGACTCCAGGCATTTAGTCCCTCTTGCCTTTTTCATTGATTTCAATGTGAAGGAATGAAAGATTGCCCTGGAGACAGCCGGCACCACTTCTCAGAGACTGAGAACGTGCAGGGAGAGCCGCCCTAGGCGCATGGCTGCCTCAGTGCTTGTAAGAGAGCAAGAGAAACAGAAAAACCTCTCAGATGACCTTCCTGGGCCATCCTTTGGCACTTCCAAAGAGAACGTATTAACTATAAGTTGGAAAAGGCCCATGTGTAACCAGCATGAAATGCTTTGAAAGCTGAATGTTATTTGTATTTAAAAAGAATTAGAACCCAGGACCAGCAGATAATGGTTACATTGCTAGACTCCCATGTAGTCAACTGCAGTTCAAGTCCCAGACCAGGAGGCTTAAAACTCATGCAGGGCACTTGTGTATGCATACTCAAAATTCCAAGAGAATGAAGGAGAAGGGATTGTGGCATGGCCATCCCCCCTGTGTGGGGGGAGGGGTGATGGGGTGACTTCTTATTTTCTTTCTCTCTGTCTCTCTGGCAATCCCATGTGCCCTATAGTAAAAATCTCTCTCTAAAAAAGAAAAAAAAAAGAATTATAACCTTACCCTTCCCCTACCCCTACCCTACCCCATAATGTTGACATCATTTTTTGTTAATATTATACTGTTTAAGGGCTGGCAGCTGGCGTGGTGGTTGAGGGTGCTGGACTCCCACATGGCCGACCACAGTTCAAGTCCCAGACCTGGCAGCTTGCTTGCTCACTTTCCCCCTCTCTCTGTCTCTCTCACACTGTCTCTCCCTGTTCATATTAAAAAAATTAATTAAGTTAAATTATATATATATAAATACTGTTTAGCGCTCTCTCTCTGTCTCTCTTACTCTGTCCCTCCCTGGTCATATAAAATAAATTAATTAATTAAGTTAAATTATATATATATAAATACTGTTTAGGGAGCCAGCAGGTAGCCTGTGGTTAAGGAATCCCACATGGCCAGCCACAGTATGAGCTCCAGACCTGGAGGCTTGCTTTCTCACTTTCCTCTCTCTGTCTTTCTTTCTTTCTTGCCCTCTCTTACTGTGCCTCTCTGATGAGCACATGTACCCTCTAACAAATTTAAAAACAATAATAATAATGATAACTTTTAAAAATTTATACTATTTATCGTGCTGTAATATGTCATTCTTTACTTAGAATAATTAGGGTATTATAACTCTTTCATACCAGACTTGTCCAGGAGGTGTGGTACAGTTCAGCAAAAACAATATTAGAAATTGCTGTCCTTTCTAGTGAGACCCTCAGTTGCAGATTGTATTCCTTTTTATGTGTTTTTATATTGAATTGTCAGGAAAGTCATGACATATTTTTTCACGTTTTTCTATACAAAAATGCATCATGACTTTTTAGATGATCCAATATTTCATGATAGAGAGCATGTACGTGTAATCAAGAGAGAGACCAAGAGATAGACAGAGAAAAGCACCTCCGGTATGATCTCATCACACTGTGATCCCTTTCATCAGGATCTTGGGTGTGCACACACATGCCGTGTGTTGCAGGTCGAACTGGGGATCCAAACCCGTGATCAGCCATGTGGCTTCCAGCACTGCAGTTCAGTTTGCTACTGACTGTGTAACCAGGTTGGTCCTGTGTTACTTTCCTTTTTTTCTTTTAAAGAATTATTTTGGGGGACCAGTAGTTAGCGTAATAGCTATGTCGTTGGACTCCCATGTAGTCGACCATGGTTCGCGTCCTGGACCCGGTGGCTTTAAACTCATGCCGGGCACATGTGTGTGCGTGCCCAAGATCCTGAGAGGAGAATGGAAGAGAAGGGATTGCAGCATGGCCATTCCCCCCGGAGGGTGATTTCTCGCTTTCTGTCTGTCTGTCTCTCTCTGTCTGTCTTGCAAATGCACGCGCCCTATAGCAAAGAAATCCTCTCCCCCCCCCAAAAAAAAAAGAATTATTTTTTAACTTTTATTTATTTATTTTAATTTGACCAGAGAGGGACAGAGCATGCGTGTGAGGGAGAGAACGTGAGAAAACATGCCACCAGGTTTGGGACTCAAATCCTAGTCGGCCATGTGGGAGTCCAGCACCCTTAACCACCACACCACTTGCCTGCGCTGGTCCTGTATTACTTTCTAGACTGTTCTCTGGTGGCAGGAGGGTTTTAACCCACATGAGCCAAGTAAACTATTCTCAAACTATTCTCTTTGGCCTCAAACAGTTGTTCTACTGTGGCTATGCATGAGACCTATACAGTCTTATCATTCACCTCCAGGGGAACTGGGTCAAGAAATTGGGAGGCTCAGCTTAAAACTAGCAATCACCTTTGGGAATGGGCAACTTTGAAAAATATTGAGCAGGGCACAAATATCAGCCATGATGGCTCCCCAAAAGATGCTTCACTTCTAAGCTTCCTTCCCTGGTACGTTTTTAAAAATCGAATAAAGAACAATTTCTTTATTTATTGCCATAGGGTGTGTATGCTTGCTGGAGAGAGACAGAGAGAGGAAAAGTGATCATTTACCCCCTAGAGGGGATGGCCATGTTGCAATCTCTTCTTTATTCTCCTCCTGAGATTTTGGGATGCACGTACACACGCCCAGTGAGATTTTCAAGCACACACGCCCAGTGAGATTTGGGACTCAAACTGTAGTCAGCCATGTTGGAGTCTAGCATCCTAACCACTAGGCCACTTGCTGACCCCAAGAACAATATTTTTTTTTTCAATTTCCGGAGGGCATGTGCACTCACCAGAGAGAGACAAAAATAGAAGGGGGGAAGGGAGAAAAGTACCCCCCGTTGGGGTTTGATCATGCCACAATCCTTTTTCCTTTGCTCTTCCTGCCAGGGGACAGGCATGCACATGCACCCAGTGTGATTTTCAAGCCACTGGGGCCAGGATTCACACTATGGTTGGCCATGTAGAGTCCCACTCCCTTAACTACTAGTCCGTAGACCGGCACCAGAATAATACTTTTAACAGTAACAGTATAGTTAATTGTCAGACTGGGAAAGGAAAGAATGGGGAATAACTGCTTACTGGGTCCTGGGCCTCCTTTTGGGGTGATGCAGATGTTTTAGAACTAGATAGAGGTAGTGGTTGTACTAAATGCCACTGAATTGTTCATTTTTATTTATTATTGTTTCAGAATTATTTATTTAGGGAGCTGGCAGGTGACGTGGTGGTTGTGTTGGACTCGCCCACGGCCAACTACAGTTAAAGTCCTGGACCTGGTGGCTAGCTTTCTCTCTCTCTCTCTCTTCTCCCTCTCTCTACTCTCTGTCTATCTCTGGTCAAATTGAAGAAGAAGAAGAAGAAATAAAATTCTTTTCTTAAAAAAAAGAATATTTTATTTAATTTTATTTATCGTTATTATTATTCATTATAATTCGGTATAGGGCACATGTACTCATTAGAGAGAGAAAGTAAGAAAGCAAGCCACCAGGTCCAGAATTTGAACCATGGTCTGCCATTTCGGAGTCCAGCACCTTAATCACCGTGCCCTGCTGGCTCCAAACTGTTCATTTTTAAATGGCTCATTTTATGCTGTGTGAATGTCATTTCAATAGTGAACAGTAGGTAAGGCACAAATCGTGTCACTGTACAAAATGCCGTAATTGTACAATCACTGCTCTGACGCAGCAGGTTTCACATGGGAGGTAGGAAAAGCAAGAGACCAGAATGTGATAGGTGGAAACTTGTCCATAAAAGTCACATGTTTCCAGGTCTTGGGAATCATTAATTATATAATTCTTTATTTTTTAAGAATTATTCAATTTTATTTATTATTATTATCATTATTTTTAATTTTGCTATCAGGCCTCTGTGCTCATCGGAGAAAGACAGAGCATGAGAAAGTGAGAAAATAGGCTACCAAGTCTGGGATTTGAACCGTAGTCAGCCATGTGGGAGTCCAGCGCCTCAACTACCGTGCCACCTGCTGGCCCCTGGAATTATTCTTCAATAGGAAGATATGGTGGTGCATGCCTTTACTCTCAGCTACTTGAGAGGCTGAGGCAGGAGGATCATAAGGTCAAGACCAACCTGGATGATACAGTGTGATCCTGTCTAAATCACACAGAACGGCCCTAAGACAAGAAATCAGATCTACATCTCATTAAGTATTACTTTCTAGAGCCTCACTCTAGTCAATTAATGGCCCACTGCCTGGAGGCAGCATCTATGGAATCAGTGCCTTTTTTTTTTTTTTTAAGAATTATTTATTTACTTTTATTCATTCATCCATTTTATTTTAATTTGACCAGAGAGATACACAGAGAGCAAGAGAAAGAGGGAAAGTGAGAAAGCAAGCCACCAGGTCCAGGACTCGAACCATGGTCAGCCATATGGGAATGTCCAGCGCCTTAACCACCACATCACCTGCTGGTCGTAGGAATCAGTGCTTCTTCTGAAAGGCCATCCTTGACTGACAGAGTGTTCATTTGCCTTCCAGTGGACCCAAGCGCTATGACTGGACGGGGAAGAACTGGGTGTACTCTCACGATGGCATATCCCTCCACGAGCTGCTGTCCACGGAGCTGACTGAAGCCTTAAAAACCACCCTGGACTTGTCTTCCTTGGCCTACTCTGGAAAAGGCACTTGATGCCCGCCAGTTTCAAGGACACTAAAAGCCGTCAAGCCAAGACCTCAGCGCCTGCTGCAGGGAGGTGTCAGTTTTGTCCTGTGCCTGCTTCTGAGGACAGTCGCATGGTGTGTAACAGCTATGTGGAAAGAACGTGTCACCTCCCACCCTGCCCCAAGCCCTGATTCTTTTATTTCTACAGAGGTTTTTTGAGTGTATTGCCTGGTTTCCTTTCTCACATGATCCTTCCTTACCATTTATAATGTCGTATCCCCATACTTTACGATAATAACCTTACAAAAAGAAAAATAAGAAGGAAAAATTCCAGGAAGAGAAACAAAGTGTCTACATTCTTCACTCTTTGAAGGATTTACTAAAAAATTACATGAAGAGCAGCTGGCTGACCTCACCATTCTGTCTCAAAATGAGACTCTTGAAAGGGTAGCATGTACGTTTTCCCAGGCCTCTTACAAAGCATAAACACTGGCGCACTGAAGTGCAGAGGCAACTCCCACGGGAAGGCCATTGCTCATTTGTGCTTTGTGACTGAGTTATCCAGAGAGGCCTGGTGCTGCTGCTCCCATATATCCGTAAATATGTGCACGTACACATCCTGTACAGGTGTCTGTGTGTGTGTGTGTGTGTGTGTGTGTGTGTGTACTTTTTTGATTAGTTTTGTTTTTTTCATTGCCAGAGGGTCTTTCACTTACCATACAGAAAAAGAAAGAGAGGAGAAAGCACTGCCCACTGGGCATGGGCATGGTCACACTGCAATTCCTTCTCTTCCATTTCCCCATTCAGTCAGGATTTGGGGCATGCACATACACACCCAGCATGGTTTTTCAAGCCACTAGGGCCAGGATTTAGGGTCAGCCATGTGGGATCCAGCTCCCTTAACCACTAGGCTACAAGGCCAGCCCTTTATTTTTCCCTTTCTTTTTAATTTTTTTTTTAGTTTTAAGGTCCATATAGAATCAGTTGCTACAGTAGGGGCTTGCAAATGCATAATCTCCCAAAGACAAGAAGAGATTTTAAGAAGCCATTTCCATAAATGGAGTGGCTTAGTGTATTTACAGGCTGGGGCGGTGCTTTGTACATGTGAAGGGCCATGTATTAATAAATGAAAGAGAGATTTGTATTGATTTTAAAAAGGAGTCCTGGTCCTAGACTTGGCCCAGCTGCAGTTGTGTTTGTCTATCTTGGGCAAATTTTACAAACTCCCTGGACCTCTGTTTTCCCAACTGTTAAGTGAATGCCCAGAATGTAGTTGATTTCCAATATTCAGTGCCTGTCAGCCAGCCTAACAGGCCAGCTTTACTTCCCACTGGAGGTGGGGATGACAGTGAACATCTTTAAGCCATAGACTGCATCTACTGTTGGTATTGCTTTACTGGAATTATAACTGGATTCATAGTAAAGTAACAGTCATCCTTTATTGTGCCCTTACTGTGGTAGCCTGTTACACCATATTACTTCATCTTAGTTTTTCCTGGCCTGCGCTCTAACTCCTGAACCATGCTCCTGTCCTATTATTTCATTACTAAAGAAAGATGGCGACAAGTGTATATGAATATGCAGGGAAAGTGTGTGCAACGGGTGAGCCAAAAATACATTCCTTTATAAAGGGAAAAAAAACCTCCTTAACAATAAAACCGTAAAATTTATTTGTCTAAACAAATGCTATAAATATTTCCTTTCTTCAGAAATAAAATTTTTGAGGCTGCTGGAAATTTTTAAGTGCGGTAAGCCAGTGGCAGTGAGACCATAAATAAAATTATACAAGCTTGTTCATGTCTGTGTGTTTGTGTCTTGCTTCAGAGGAAAATGCCATTGTTCCTCCCTTGCTCAGAACTCAGTAACAGGGCCCTCTCCTACCAGACACTGCATACACTTGTGAGATGCGATGGAGCTGACAGAGTGTGAAAATGGAAGGTAGGGAGTGGGCTCCTTGTGGCTCAGCCCTTCAAGACTAGTTTTACTAAACATACCATTTTTTTTTCATTAATTTTGCCAGAGGGCACATGTGTTCCCAGGAGAGAGATAGAGAGGGGCAAGGGGGACAGCCCTTCGAGACTATTTACTTTTACTAAACATACCATTTTTTTTTTCATTAATTTTGCCAGAGGGCACATGTGTTCCCAGGAGAGAGATAGAGAGGGGCAAGGGGGAAAGAAAATGAGAAGTCATGCCCTATGGGGAATAGTCACACAGCAGTCCCTTCTCCACTTCTCCCTGCATTCAGGATTTGGAGTGCGCATACATACTTCCTTGGCATGTTTCTCAAGCCACCGCTGAGTCTAGGACTCAAACTGCAGTCAGCTATGTGGGATCCAGCTGCCTTAACCACCAGACCACAGGCTGACCCTTCTTTTATGTACAATTATAACTGGTTTCCAAGGCAGTAGGAGATTCCCCTTTAAGAGAAAAGGGATGTTATAAACAGGAGCCAAGGGAGCAATCAAAATCTTGCTCTGGGACCAGCAGTTAGCGTAATGGCTATGTCACTGGACTCCCACGTAGTCGACTGCGGTTCGCATCCCAGACCCGGTGGCTTAAAACTCACACCGGGTGCATGTGCGTGTGTGCCCAAGATCCCGAGAGGAGAATGGAGGAGAAGGGATTGCGATGTGGCCATCCCCCATGGGGGGTGATTTCTCACTTTCTGTCTCTATGTCTCTCTCTCTCTGGTGAGCGCACGCGCCCTATAGCAAAAAACCTCTAAAAAAAAAAAAAATCTTGCTCTGACAAGCAAACACAATATGGCCCCTCACCTAAGACGTGGGAGTTATCGCCTCATTTATGGTGCAGTCACCTAAGGCCTAATGGTTAAGAGAACTGGATTCTACATGGCCAATGGAAGGTCAGGTGCCACAAGTTTGAAAAACATCAGGTACATGAGTATGCATGCCCCAAATCATGACAGGATAGACATATGGAAGAGAAGGGATTGTGGCATGGCCTTCCCCATTAAGGGGGGGTGCTGTCTGACTCTTGTGAGTGCATGCACCTTCTGGCAATTTGAAAAAAAAAAAGAATTTTCAGGAAAAGGCTGTTCAATGTTCATTATGACATGGAGGCAAAGAAATGCATTATACAACTTTAGAAAAACTTTTCTATTTAGCTTCTAGAGTGGGTAGACCCTCAGCCACATAGAAAATAAAATTCTCCAGAATAACTCACCTTTCTTCTTCTTTTTTTTTTTTTTTTTTTTGAGGGGGGCTGGTTTTTCCATCTCGGTGCTGGTCCCACACTTACCTTTCTAAAATTAAAGAGAAGTATGGGGTATGGAAAAGATAGTCAGGTTTTTTTGTTTTCTCTTTAAGGTTTTTGCCATAGGTCGTGTGTGCTCACCAGAGACAGAGATACAGTGAGAGGAAAATCACCCCTCCCCTCAAGGGGGATGGCCACACCACAATCCCTTCTCCATTCTTCTGGGAATTCTGGGTGCACGCACATGCACCCAGCATGATTTTCAACTTACCTTTCTGGGTCCAGGACTTGGACTGCACTTGGCCATTGGAAGTCTAGCACCTTAACCAAATGTCACCTCCTGGGCCTGAGTTTGAGCCTTTTAATCAGAAGATGTTGTTTTATTTTATTTTTAATTTGTTAGAGGACACACGCATTCACCAGAGAGAAGAGAGAGAGGTGGGTAGAGAAAGTGAGAAAGCAAGCCATCTGGTCGGGGACTTGAACACGTCGGCCATGTGGGAGTCCAGTACCTTAACCACCACACCACCTGCTGGCCCCTGTCACAAGTTTTTAAATTCAAGTCAAACTCACTGGTGTCAACTCTTTTTATCTGTAAAATGGGGACCTCTAACATGTTGATCCTGGCATAATCCTGACGTGTGAAGAGCGCAGCACCAACAACTATGGGTCTCACATGCAAAGCATAATTTTGTATTGAAATTGGGACCTTTTCCCCAAAATATTACCCATGATATCTTCAACTCGACCTTGATCTTAGTCAAAGGACTCGTTTTGCTTTATTTGGTGATGCATCCTGCCTCCCAGGCCAATTCTTCTTGTGCCCTGCCAGGCTTACACTTTACTCCACCTTCTGGAAATCTGAACACATTTCAACCAATTTAAGTTTGATAGTGCACATGAAATAGTAGGTTTACAACATGCATCCTACCTCCCAGGCCAATTCTTGTGCCCTGCCAGGCTTACACTTTACTCCACCTTCTGGAAATCTGAACAGATTTCAACCAATTTAAGTTTGATAGTGCACATGAAATAGTAGGTTTACAACATGCTTCCTCCAGATAAACCATACAAAATTCTATTAAACCTGGTTGTCACCTCCATGTAAAGACCCATTTTATAAAGATGAAATTTGGGGGCAGGGCAGTGGTACAGGGGCTGGTTGAAACAAGGTGAATGGCAGCTCTGAGACTCAGTCATGGGTGCTGTATCTCTCCTCTGTGTCTCTCTTGCTTATGCAGTAAATAAAATTTGATGTTTAATATTTTTTTTTAAAGTTGAAGTTTGGGGACCAGCTGACGGCATAATGGTTACATCACTGGGCTTCCATGTAGTCGACCCTGGTTTGAGTCCGGGACCCGGTGACTTGAAAACTCACACCAGGCGAATGTGAGTGTGTGTCCAAAATCCTGAGAGGAGAATGGAGGAGAAGGGATTGTGGCATGGCCAACCTCCCTTAGGGATGATTTCTCTCTTTCTGTCTCTCTGTCTCTCTCTCTCTGGTGAGTACATGCACCCTATAGCAAAAATCTCTCTCAAAAACAATATTAAAAAAGAAAATAAAGATGTTCGTGAAGAATGACTATGCAATACTGCCAAGGAAAACTAGCTGTACAGTTCCTAGGTACACGTTGAAGTTAAAGGAAATAGACCCTGTCCAGCTGAATTCTTGGCACACGTTTATCTTTTACAAATTGAAATAGCCACATGCCAGAAAGGCAGAAAGGAGAAGAAAGAACAGAGTCATGAAACTGCATATAAATGTGCACCAGTGTTCAAACCTATGACCTTGTGACTGTCTTTCTATGTGGTTAGGGAAGAAAGGCCTTCACACCCTTGGTGTGACCTAATTAGCTGTGATACTCAGAATAGGTCCAAGGCTTACGATTAATGGCCCTTGGGTGTGTGTAAAACTGAGCTCCCTCACATTCCTGCATCTGCTACAGAGACGGGATCCAAACTCATATATTATGTCTTCCCTGGCTGTGTTGTTTAAGGAATAGCATGCACCAGACCAGATTTATTGAATTGTTTATTAGCAGAAAACGTACTTAGGCTGTTGAGGGAAACACCTGCACTGACAGTAAAATTTTCTCCCAAGGATCTACTACTGTGAAAAGAGTGAGGCCTCTGAGGCCCCTTGTAGGGATAAGTGTTAGTGAAGATGGGCTTCTCTTGTCCACTGGTGTTTCTGTGATCTGCGGGGCACCAGGAAT